GAAACACAATGCTGCTTCTGTCAGTTTTGTTAGCTAGCTGTCAGCTAATCGTTAGTAGGACAGCATAGCATGTCTGCATTACTGCATTTATTTTCATTATTAGCCCTGCAAAACTAATGTCTGAATCAGTGGGGGGGTTGTCTTTTTTCACTTTGAAATTTCATTATTTTAAAGCCAAATTCCAGGTTTCGTATAAAGCAGAATTTCAGTCAAAATTGAAAATGTGTCCATGATTGGTATGTTAAATATCTTTAATTTTGATGCTATGCATTTTCAGACTTGCTGACTGTCAAGCTCCGATTGGTGTTGGTAAATAACAGAAGACAGCTGATTGTCTAGCTTACAGACAACGGTTTGCCTGCTGAGCAGAATTTGTCAGCTCTTAGTCACTTCTTAAACCGTTGTCGGTCTCTGTGTGAGAAATCCAGCAGAGTTTGATTAAGTCACCGACCACACCGCTGTGATTTGAAATCTCACGATTTGTATGCAATTACAGCGTGATTTCTGAGGACATTATATTACTACTTGTGAAGATTTTCAATTTAGAGTGCGATTTCCATTATATTCTATGTATGTGAAATTGCAACAAAACTGCAGAAAACCTAATTCAAGAACTACTTTAGAAATCGCTGCAGCATATATTATTATTATTATTATAATACAGGATTTATATAGCGCCAACAGTTTGCTCAGCGCTGTACAATATAAAGGGAGACAATACAGCAACATATCGCAAATGTTAAGACCCTGACATTCATTAGATATGATTTCAGGTGTGATTTCAATTCCCAAATTGCACCTGAAATCACACCGATATGACCGGGCACTTAACTCGCCCCTGCCTTTCCCAGTTCCACCCAGCATTGCCCCCATTTCTCCAAGCCATCGGTAGAATGTGCAGCAGCTTCATCTTTAACTTGGAGCATTGCCAAGGAGCAGCCATAGTAAGGCTGTAAGTACACTGCACATATACACAATCGTGGAGTTTTCAGCTTGCAGTGCGCTACACTCGCACTATAAGGCGGAATCGTTGCGTTTTCAGCTTTCTGTGCGGTACACTTGCACTATAAGGCGGAATCACGGCGTTTTCAGCTTGTTGTGCGTTACACTCACAGGATAATGTGGAATCGTGGCGTTTACAGCTTTCTGTGCGTTACACTCGCACGATAAGGTGGAATTGTGGCGTTTTCAGCTTGCAGTGCGCTACACTCGCACTATAAAGTGGAATCGTGGCGTTTAAAGCTTGCAGTGCGCTACACTCGCACTATAAGGTGGAATTGTGGCGTTTTCAGCTTGCAGTGCGCTACACTCGCACAATAAGCTTGGTGCGTTACCCTCGCGCTATAAGGCGGAATCGTGGCGTTTTCAGCTTGCTGTGCGTTACCCTCGCGCTATAAAGCGGAATCGTGGCGTTTTCAGCTTCTGTGCTTGCTGTGCGTTTTCAGCTTGGTACACCCTCGCGCACGATCGTGGCGTTCTTTTTTTTAAGGCGCGGAATCGTGGCGTTTTCAGCTTGCAGTGCGCTACACTCGCACTATAAGGCGGAATTTTTTTTTTTTAATCATTATTTTGAAAGGAAAACTGTCCCAAAAGAGTAAAAAAAAAAAATCTTTTTTTTTTTTTTTTTTTTTTTTTAATTTAGCTGTGTGTTTTCTTGTTACTGGCATAACCTACCACCAAAGAACAACCCAAAATACATTTTCCAGCTCTTGACGATCACAGCGATACCATATATGTGTACTGAACTAGATCAAACCTTGTTCTAGGTATTTTTATTTTATTGTTTTAATATTTATTTCTTTTTTTTTTAGTGTTTTTTTTTTTTTACTTCTTCTTCTCCTCTTTGCACTGTATCTCATCCATTCAGAGAGAAATAAAACAAGGGGGATGGGCTTCACAGTGACTGATCACTGTGATAGCCAATCACAGGCGGCTATCACAGCGATCATGTGATCCGGAATCGGGAGTCCCAGAAGCTAAATTCCTGCTAGCATTTTCTAAACAGTTATAGCAAACAATTGTCGTCCTTTTGGGGTAAAGGTTTTACAAAATAATACAAGCTGATCATTGTCAGCATCCCTGTTAGTGTTAAATGGTTGGTCTTAACCCTCTAACTACTACATCTGCCGGACATTTTGTTCTGTTGAAAAACAGCAGACTTACTGGCTGGATCACCAGGTGAAAATAAACAAAAGAATCTTAAGTTCATTTGGGCTGCACTACAGCTGGGGGTCCCTAACATCTCTCACTATTACAAAGCAGGCCAGATAGCCCCCTTAGTTCTACTATATGCAGGTAAAATGGCACCTTTAGGGACTTCCATTGATGTGCTAGATACCAGTCCCATTTCACGTTGGATTCCCACACTAAACCTCTTAATCCGGTACTCATACCCTAACAGTTTGGGTTTGATTAAAGGATAAGTTTGCCTATTAAAAAAACAAAAACATCTTTTTGCAGGTAAAATAAAATGTGCCTAAAAAGTATTGCACCTGCGATAAGCACATCACGGGTGCCATGCAGGGCTCCCAGCAGGCTTGTCAGTGTATCTATGCACTCGTACCTCATATGGGCAGGCAAACACACACTGACAGGAAGAGAGAATGAACTACCACAGTGATCACAGTGCCATGATAGTTAATTGAGAACTACAAGCCAACAGCTGCAAAGGCTGTTGGTACTTGTAGTTTTCCATTCACAGAATTCTGCAAATGAATGATGCAGCTGGGCAGGCAGAGCCCCGCACGACTGCATTTTTAAAAAAAGTAGTGACAGCTAGTGGGGGGGGGGGGGGGGGGGGGGGGGGGAGAGAATGCCCCACTAGCTGTCACTAGAAGCAGGCAGCAGGAAAATGTTAAATGTTCCACCCAAAAAATGGGTGGAACATGTAATATGTTCCCAAGGGTGAACGTATCCTTTAAGTACTCGGCACGCTTGTCTCCATACCTCCCAGTCTGACAGATATTTAACTGCTCCCTCTTCCCCACTGGGCTGGAAAATCCCCAGAGCTATTATTGGTGGCATAACAAGGGCCCCGCGACAGTCCGCTCACATTTGACTACATTATGCATTCAGTCCTTCCAATAGCTAAGGGAATCATAACATACCAGACTCTGAAAGATTCCATTGTTGGAATCAGAATTAGGACTGGTCTATGCCCACGGCAGCTTTCGAGTCCAGATGTCAAACGTGCTCAACAACTCAAAGTTTTATTTCCCTGCTATACTCCTCTGTATTAGGTAATACTAATACACAAGTCTCAACGAGAGCTTGATTTCTACACTACCCTACTCTCCAAGGACTAGAATAATATGTGGGAAGCTGTATTCAAGTTGTCTTGCACTGGAAAAGGCCACTTGCACAGGGGAGATATATTTACGACCTGTGTGCAAGAGGCCAAAGGCTGTGTGTAAAGACCTGAGTAATGTTGATTTATAGGCAAAGGTGTGTGATCGTATAGACAAGCAAAATACTTCTTCATTGCCAGTATTGGAATATACTCATTTATGTTTGTGTAAACATTATGAATGGGCAAACATGCAAGTAAATTACTGCACTCAAATGAAAATATTTCTATTTTTGTTTACTGCTCTGTCTTCAACACTGTATTACTGACCTTTACTCAGCTGTATGCAATGCCCCATAGACAACAATGCATCTCATTTCAGATCAGTAAAAAATTCTGCATTTTTTACTTTCCATATGCAACAGGCCAAACTCATCCAAAGTTATGTCTTGGTGGTACTTCACCCCTGCTAGGATTGTAAAGTGCCTCCCCACTTACCCCAACATGTATGGGGGAAATGCTGTAGGGTTATAAGGCTTTGGATAAGGCTCTGCGCTATGGTCAACATGGGGAGGCGCTTCTATACTATGGTGTACTTTTATAACTAATTTATCTTCTAACTCATATTTTTATGACAGCAAGACGGACAGTAGGGAAGGCATGAAGGTCGTCAACGTTCTGCTTTGACAAAGTGAAAACCTGAGTACATGGCACATTTTATAAACCAGGAACTCAGAGTTGCCCCAACAATACAAATGACAAATGTTTGCACCCTTGGCATGATCAACTTCCTTCCTCACAGCTAACCACACACTTTTTGGAACTCTAACTTGAATGTGTCTGAGTATGTTTTCCCAATTTGCTGACACATACTCTACTTTTTTTTTTTTTTTATGGTCTTATACCCATGTTACATATCACTGCGCATGTTGGAGCGAGAGCAATAGTTCTAGTACAAGACCTCCTCCATAATACTAAACTGACCTTTAGGGGGCTTTTGAAGCTTTTCTTATAGAAAATATAGGGTACTGACGTTTGTTGCTATTTCATGGGCACAAACAAATTTAAGGTTTGACATGTAGGGTTTCTATTTACTTAGCACAATCTTAGCTTTTATATTTTACCAAAAATTTGGGTGACTTCTTGCATTTGTTTGCCTTAAAATTCACTTTAGTGTGTGTGGTTTTTTTTTTTTACAATTTTGTGTTTCCTAGACCTTTGCGGTAATATCGTGTTTCCTAGACCTTATGCGGTAATATTGTGTGACATAAAAAATGTAAACTACCACTATTGTATTCTCTACTGTGTCAAAAATTATATAATGTTTGAGGGTTTTGTGTAACCTTCTGGCCTAAAATGATTTTTTTTTAAACCTGCAAAAGTGGCTTTGGCAGCAAAAGGGATTAGACCAGCACACACTAGCTTATGGATGGTAAAAACCAAACTGGTATGTTTACACAAGAACTAGTATCCCTAGCTAGTGTCCCACCATCCAGCTTCATCCCAGAGCTTTTGTGCACACTTTTTGTCTTTTATGATTTAGATTTCTTTTTGTTGTCTTTCACAGACCATCATGAATCTGTCTGTGGCATAACCGTAATTGATATTAAGAGGAATAATCGAAAACATGGATACTGCTATGGAATCTGTATGGAGCAACTTCTCTGCACCCAATATGACCGACATCACAAATACCACCAATGGCAGTCCATCAATGTCCATAAACAGGCTTTTTCCAGCACTCTTGGAATGTTTTGGTATCATTATGTGTGGATACATTGCTGGGAGAACCAACGTGATAACTCCTACTCAGGCAAAAGGACTTGGCAACTATGTTTCCCGGTTTGCACTTCCAGCGTTGCTTTTTAAAAATATGGTTGTCCTAAACTTTTCAGATGTCAACTGGTCGTTCCTGTACAGCATCCTTATTGCCAAAGCCTCAGTGTTTATCATAGTATGTGTTTTAACTTTATTGGTGGCACATCCACAAACTCGTTTCAGCAAAGCTGGACTATATCCTATATTTGCTACTCAGAGCAATGATTTTGCACTTGGCTATCCCATTGGTAAGTAGTCTTGTACTCTTTTGTATAGTTTGCTTAAAGCTGACTTCCAGGCAAACCGCTATATACATATATACACATATGAAATTATTTGTAATTCTGTCCAGCCATTTTGTAAATCGTATACCTCTGTCATACAGCTCAGCCAGCAGGGTGACACCAGTTCCTTATTAAACGTTGAGGGTGTCACCTCCCACATGTTAAAATGAAAAATGAGCATCATCACACTGATAACACATCAGCCCTGCTCTTTACTCCAGTTGGCATGTACTTGTCAGCACATAGCTCTGCCTGCTTGATTATTAGTGCTGCCTCTTCCTGTATTTCTGATTGCTGGTGTGCAAGGGAGGACAATGGCTGATATCCTTGGAAGGTGTAGAGTAATAGCTCACTACATCAACAGTATAGATATAGTCTAGATAAAGTTATTTCTTCACAGAAATTCAAAAAGACAAACAATAGGGGAGATTTACTAAAATTGGTGCACACAGAATTTGGTCCAGTTGTGCATAGTAACCAATCGGCTTCTAACTTCAGCGTGTTCAATTATGCTTTGACAATAAATTCTAGAAGCTGATTGGTTACTATGCACAGCTGCACCAGATTCTGTGTGCACCAGCTTTAGTAAATCTCCCCCATTGTGTTTCTCCATACAAATTGGCTCCTTTTTGTTCAAAAGCATGTCTCCGCAGCTGGTTGTGAGAGAGTAGAGAAGCTTTCTCAATGTTTTTAACAAGTTAAAACCATTGAAAATAACTTTTTAGTCTACAGCCCATGCTAATAATTACTATATCTATAGCCAGGGCTTGACCAATTTGCTTTCAAAATCTAGGAGCCAGCTAAAAAAGTAATAAACTTAGGAGCCAGGTTTTTTTTTTTTTTTTTTTTTTTTTTTGGTTGTCGGCGCAGTAGGCAAGGCAACTTTTTGGGCAACAAGCTTCACATGATGCAATTTGCCACATGACAATCACAGCAAAACTGCACTACATTTTAGGTGCCATTGAAAATAATGGCACCTCAACCTGCGTTTCGTGATCGCATCGATTTCTGCTGTGATCCCAAAGTGCCCAGGTGTGAATGGAGCCACCCTGGATCACACATATGCGATTCTGGATGCGTTTTCAAACTCACAAATTTGCATGACAGGCTAGATATTATGTGTTCCTGTTGAGGTGGTTCACCCAGATGCGATCTACATGCATTGCTTTTTGAGTACCATTACAGAATGGGTCCTGTGCGAGTTTGCCGCGGTGCGTTCTAGACTCGCAAGTGATAGCATAGAGTGCCACGCATAGATAGGTGTTCACATAGGTTTGCTATTGACAGGAGTTTTTACATTGAAGTCACCGGAAGGCGATTTTTTTGCATTGAAGTCACTGGGAGGCAGTGTGTGAACCCAGGCACAAGGATGCAATATCTTGTCGCCATGGCAACCTAGCACCTAGGATTTTGTCTATAGCTTAAGGTAGACCTTCGCATTTTACTTATCAATTTATATTTGAAATTGCTGTCAAAGGATAAGAAATGTAGCATACTATGTATATTTGACACCTACTCTATATGACCGTTATTTTCAGCAATCGTAATGAAATTAAATAAAAATGAATAAAGGTCAGAAAAACTGCACACAGTGAAAATGGTAATGTTTCCTTACATTGGTGGTTGGTGAAGCATTCTCGTATACAGGTGGTCAGTAAAATGCTCCTTTACATTGGTTGTCAGTGGAGAAGGGGCCCCTTTTTGATTGGCTGTCACTGCTAGGAGTTTCAGCTTACATTGGTGGAAGAAGGGCTCCATTACACTGGGATTTCGGGGTACCCAGTGGGAGGAATGCTTCATGCAATAGGGGTCAGTGGGAAGCAGTCTTTTTACATTGGGGATCAGTAGAAAAAGCACTCCTTACATTGAGGGTCAGTGGGAAGAATGCTTCCAACAGTGAAGGTCAGTGGGAAAGATTTCGTTTTAGCTAAAAAGAATATTGTTTATTGCTGTCAGTGGTTCCATATCTGAGAGGCAGAAAAGGCTCCTTGTTCAAGGAACCCCTAGCAACCTCTGGAGAAACCCTAGGGTTCCATGCAACTTTGAATGAGAGAGGCAGGAGTAGAGGCTGATATCAGGAGGGTTTCAGATACAAATTATTATATGTAAAAAATACATGTATTTATTTTTAAAGGAATGCACATAAACGTTAAACGGTGCTGTTTTCTATATATAAAATGCCTGAAGTTCAGATTTAAAATGCTGTGGTTAAAAATGAGGATAAACTGGTTGTATGATTAAAATGTAGATACTGCACATATTTTCACAAATGCCATCAAGCCATGATTAATTAAAGCTGTTTCACCAGAAGTTCCCTGGGGGATTCAGTCCTTATTGAAGTCCCCAAGGGACCCAGTGCATGCAGCATTTGTTCCTATTCAGATCTGTGCAGTGCTTGTTGAGCTAGAATTGTTGACATCAAACCCCTCTCCCTCCTTCATTGTCTGACCACCCTGCTCACAGGGTGACAAATATAAAATAGCTGTGGCTGAAAGGAACACAAAGGAGTGGATGCTTGAGAACCATAGCACACAGAGGAGAGCTCATACAAACCTTGTCCCACCTCCATTGAAAGCTGCCAGGACAGAACATTCTATTATCTGCAGCTCTGCCATCTAATTTTCCAGCTCCCTGCCTCGTCTGTTCTACACGTCTGATTTCTGCCATCTTCCATATACTAAAAAGGAGCTCATATACTGAAACAAAAGACTGAGCCCAGACCTGACTGCCAGCTATTCTGGGGAGAGAGAATAATTTCATCATGGCACTGTGCACAGTGGTTGCGCTAACCCGCACTCTCATCCAATCTCCCTTGTGCCTGATATGAGGGGATCCCCTGAGCGGTACTCACAACCTGTTGTGGAGCAATTGGGGTGTTCTGTTCTGTGTCTCACAACTGAAAGCTCCTGGTAAAGGTGAACATGGAGACCAGGGCCTAAAAACAGCATGATTGAGTCTTGTCCTGTAGCAGAGCATTTGTTCAAGATGGTGCCTCAGCTGAGCAGGACGGAGATGCCACCTCCAGGTACAAGACTATGCACACTTGGCAAGCTACTGCCTACCCGAATGTGTTGCAGAAGATGTGACACACTACAACAAGGGGGAATGCATCTCAGAAGATGTCACACAATTACCAGAACAAGGGGAATGTGGAGGTGAAGATGAATACATTTATCAGAGAAAGGAGGGAATGCACTGAAACAAATACTTATCTTTTCAGTGCAGTTGGTTGCAACAAGAACCACCACAATGAAACACAGCTACGGTGCAGAGAACCCCATTGAAATGCCATACATAACCTGTGGCCAGGGTAGCAATTCTATAAAATTCATAGGAAAAGCATTGAAATCGTTGTGTAAGCCAGCTCAGTTCAGCTCACCCAGCTCCCCTTCCCAGCAACAACTCAGCAGTGTTCCTAGCTTTCTGATTGCCAATGTAAACACAGAGCTGTTCCAGCTGCTTTTCACTAATGGAAGGGAGAAGCAGAGCTTTTGAGAGATTGAAGTGTTACTAAATCCACAACAGTAAAATCGGTCTGTTTGTGCCGTAAAGCATACTTGTTATACTCTGTGGAACCTAAGGGGTTAATCATGTACATTGTTTAAAAAGGATGTTTAATCCTGTCTTTACTGAATCTCCTTTTCTTCTACTGTCACCAGTCCATCTGCTGCTAGAACAGAGCCTTGGAGGAAAGCTGCACATGCTCGGTTTTGGTGTGTACTGCTAGAGTTTCTTTTTTTGGGAGAGTTTATGTGATCCGCACAGTGCCAGTCAGCACTGTCCAGACAGAGGGCAGCCTCATAGGACAGTCAGGAGAGAATAAACTCCTACAAGATTTAACTAGTGCTCTGCTGGACACTGATAGAAGTCACAAGACTGCTCTAACTGCCGATGAGAAAAGGTATTTAGCAGTTTATATTTACTAGTGTAGCACCCTCCTAGTTACACTAGGTGGAGCTAGATCTCTAATGGTTAGACAGGAGCTGAATAGCAGCTTGGGTGCAATAGCCAGAGCAGTCAGATTCGGGTCAGGGTTAGACTCTGCAGACCAGCCCCTGTGGAAATTTCCCCTGTTCTGAGGCTTTCGGAGGAGGGTTTTGGAGGCAGTGGGTGGATCTGAGGAGTAGCTGGCTTCACCTTTTTGAGGGACCTCAGCCAATCCCCAACAGGAGGCTTGGCAAGGGGCTGGACTACCTTAAAATGTGATAGTGGCAGGAGTTGGAAAGTGGTGGTGGGAGAAGAGTGAGAGTCAGGAAGATGTGAGGCTGGAGGAGGAAGGCTGCCAGGAGGCCTGCTGGGATCAGGTCTGCCTGCAAGCTTGGAGCTGGAAAGGAGGGAACCTCAGGACTCCCTTATTCCTTAAGAGAGGACCACCTGTGTGGCAAGGAAGGCGCAGCCCAGCTGACAGGCCTGGTAGCAGCAGCCATTCCATAAGCTCTACAGGAGAGGATTTGAGTACACCTACACCCCCTGGAAGAGGAGTCCTTCAGCGTCTGGTAGTATAACTGGAGCTGCTGGCTAGCACCCCAACAGAGACTGTCAGAGAAGAGAAGCTATAAATAGTTCAGGATGTTTTCCTTAGATTTCAGTTCCCTTGGGCATCCTATACATCCCTATACCCTATCCAAGTTTAAGCCCCTCAATAAAACAACAAAACCAACACTCAAGGCCTGATCTGTGTGGATGAAATTTTAGTTGAACATGCTTATTGACTGGCTTTGCAGGACTATAGGGGAACCCAAATTTCATCAGCAATCCCTAAGATGGTAATGCTACACTTAAAAAAAATAAAATAATGAATTTCCATGCTCTGTGTACTGTGGGAGATCAGATATAGTGAATGCAGGGTCCTGGATTTAGTAACACTTTAAAGGATAAGTTCATATTAAAAAAATAAAAGCACATATTTTTGCAGGAACAAAAAAATGCACTTTTTTTTATATATAGGAGCCTGCAGAGCATTGTACCTGCGATTAGCAGCTCTGCATAGAAACCAATCAGCTTCCAGGTTTTATTGTCAAAGCTAATTGAACAAGCTGAAGTTAGAAACTGGCTACCATGCACATCTGCACCAGATTCCGAGTGCTTCAGTTTTCGTAAATATCCTCCAGTGCTACAGAGGTGCGTTTATTTTAAAGCTAATTTACTGCTTGTTAAGATCATGCAAGTACCTAAATGTCCATAACGTGGCTGCAGGCTTACATTAAAGGTTAGTTTTTCCCAAGTATGGTGTCATGCTTTATGTTGTGTGTTCCAGTGCAGGCAAAATACCTTTCAACAAGATTATACATTATTTCCAAAGGCATTCTCACAAATGTGATGCATTGTGGGAAAATAGACAGCTGAAGCCTCCCCCCAAAAAACAGCAACCAGTCAGCATGATTCCCTATCATGTGATCACCGTGAAATGATGAACATATGGTTTGTTTGTAAACAACCCCTCCTTTCTGTGCTTGCAATAAAAAAGAAAATCTTGGCACAACGTTGAGCATTCCTTTACACCTGCTGAATTAGTCACTCATATGGAACCCTTCTGTTATACATATTGGTATCTCAAAGCTCAACTAACCAATACTTTGGGTAAACTCCAAGTATCCATCCCACCTTCTAGCCCCACCCCACAGTTATCCTCCTCCCTGTCCAACAGTGGAGTGCATGCTCCTCTCTAAGGAATCTAGCCCACATAGTAATTCTCTTCAAATGTCTTCTGGGATAGAGATGTGCTTTTGTTCAAGCTTCCACAACCAAGCTTCCATGCCTAGGGATTGGCTCAATTTTGAGGTTCGGCTCTTTTTACTGCTATGTTGTTACATTTATGTCTATTTTTGATACTGTTTCCTTCCCATTATAATTGTTGTACTGGTTTTTGTACTCCTAGTCTACACATACAGTGGATATAAAAAGTCTACACACCCCTGTTAAAATGTCAGGTTTCTGTGATGTAAAAAAAAATGAGACCAAGATAAATCATTTCCACCTTTTTAATGTCACATATAAACTGTACAACTCAATTGAAAAACAAATTGCAAAAATAAATTTCAGCTATTCTTGTAGGTCTTTCCTGATATTTTCTTAGTCACATCCTAAAGCAAAAGCCATGGTCAGCAGAGAGCTTCCAAAGCATCAGAGGGATCTCATTGTTAAAAGGTATCAGTCAGGAGAAGGGTACAAAAGAATTTCCAAGGCATTAGATATACCATGGAACACAGTGAAGACACATTATCAAGTGGAGAAAATATGGTGCAACAGTGACATTACCAAGAACTGGACATCCCCCCAAAATTGATGAAAAAACAAGAAGAAAACTGGTCTGGGAGGCTGCCAAGAGGCCTACAGCAACATTTAAAGGAGCTGCAGAAATATCTGGCAAGTACTGTCTATGTGGTACATGTGACAACAATCTCCCGTATTCTTCATATGTCTGGGATAGAGTTGCAAGACGGAAGCCTTTTCTTATGAAGAAAAACATCCAGGCCTGGGTACATTTTTGCAAAAACACATCTGAAAGCATATGGGAAAATGTGTTTGGGTCTGATGAAACCAAGGTTGAACCTTTGGGCCATAATGCCAAAAGATATGTTTGGCACAAAAACAACACTGCACATCACCAAAAGAAAGCCATACACATAGTGAAATATGGTGGTGGCAGCATCATGCTTTGGGCTATGTTTCTTCAGCTAGAACTGGGGCCTTAGTCAAGGTAGAGGGAATTATGAACAGTTCCAAATACCAGTCAATATTGGCACAAAACCTTCAGGCTTCTGCTAGAAAGCTGAACATGAAGAGGAACTTCATCTTTCAGCATGACTACGACCCAAAGCATACATCCAAACAGAAGAAGATTAAAGTTTTGGAATGGCCCAGCCAGAGCCCAAACCTGAATCCGATGGAAAATCTGTGGGGTGATCTGAAGAGGCCTGTGCACAGGAGATGGCCTCGCAATCTGACAGATTTGAAGTGTTTTTGCAAGGAAGAGTGGGCAAATATTGTCAAGTCAAGATGTGACATGCTGATAGACTCATACCCAAAAAGACTGAGTGCTGTAATAAAATCAAAAGGTGCTTCAACAAAGTATAATTTAAGGGTGTGCACACTTATGCAACCATATTATTTTAGTTTTTTTATTTTTACTTCCACCTAAAGCAGTGGTTCTCAACCTGTGGGTTGCGACCCCTTTGGGGGTTCGAACGACCCTTTCACAGGGGTCCCCAAGACCATCAGAAGACACATATTTCTGATGTGTAAAGAGCAGCTACTGTGTAGAAAACAGCTGCTGTGTTGAAAGCACGGTCTGGATAAAAGCGCACAGATGTGTCCCAAAGGAAATAAGTGAATGGTATATGTCAACTATGATTGGTGGGGAAAAAACTCACTGCTGCCATGGTAAAAACACATCGGTTTGTGGGAGGTATGAACAGGAGTCAGGCGCTGTGCAGTTTTGTGATAGAAATAATACACCTTGTATGGAGGTATGCCTTTAAGAAGTCATATGGTAAAACAATAATAAATAACCAGCCTGTGGCTTTAGGAAGCCAGGTTCCAAGATGGACGGCCCGTCCGCTCAGAGGGAAGCAGTGGAGTAGAATGCCTGTCAGTGCAGGGACCACGTTTACCCGACGTCCCAGCGTCCTGGATGACGTCACCACGATGTGGAGAGACGGAGGGGGGGAACTCTTGCTGGAGCCGCAGCTTTAGAAGGAAGAGGCCGGTTAGTGGGACAACATGTTTCGTGCGCATGCGCTTTGTGGAGAGACGGAGGGGGGGAACTCTTGCTGGAGCCGCAGCTTTAGAAGGAAGAGGCCGGTTGCTGGGACAACATGTTTCGCGCGCATGCGCTTTGTCAAGTGCGCATGCGCGCGAAACATGTTGTCCCAGCAACCGGCCTCTTCCTTCTAAAGCTGCGGCTCCAGCAAGAGTTCCCCCCCTCCGTCTCTCACACATCGTGGTGACGTCATCCAGGACGCTGGAACGTCGGGTAAATGTGGTCCCTGCACTGACAGGCATTCTACTCCACTGCTTCCCTCTGAGCGGACGGGCCGTCCATCTTGGAACCTGGCTTCCTAAAGCCACAGGCTGGTTATTTATTATTGTTTTGCCATATGACTTATTAAAGGCACACCTCCATACAAGGTGTATTATTTCTATCACAAAACTACACAGCGCCTGACTCCTGTTCATACCTCCCACAAGCTGTGTTGAAAGCAGCTACTCTGTTAAAAGCAGCTACTGTGTTGAAAGCAGCAGTATTGGAGGTAAAACGACACTTCATGAATTATAATTACTGGGTAAATAATTTTATTGTTGGGGGTCACCACAACAAGAGGAACTGTATTAAAGGGTCACGGCATTATGTAGGTTGAGAACCACTGACCTAAAGGATTTCAGTTTGTTATTCAACTGAATTGTACAGTTTTTATAGATTACATTAAAGGTGGAAAAAGTTCTGAAATTATTTATCTTTGTCTCATTTTTTTTACATCACAGAAGCCTGACATTTTAACAGCGGTGTGTAGACTTTTTTATATCCACTGTATGTTGGCTGATAGATTTGTATCTCAAGATCGTATTCTTGTACTTATTTTACAAAAATCCAATAAAAATTTGTTTAAAAAAAAAAAAAAAATCATATGTAAAAGTGCATCTGTGACTATAGACATTAAACAATTTACATATGCCTAACAAATGGTAAAAAGCACTTTAAGAGTTCTGTCTGACCTCTCTTGGTTTTTAACAGCTAAGACATGTGGTGCTTGTTTTCAGTAGGGGGCTAGTAGGCTGTCAAGATTGTACTGTCATAGAAAAACTCCCTGCCTGTTTTGTGAACATTGAAAATAAATTTATCTCCAAAGATTATACATACAGAGATAAATGAGGACACATGTTCACTTCAGCAAAGACCATAGAAAGCTACAATAAAAATAAGCTAAAAATATTTTTTGATAATTTGTAAGCCTATAATGAAAAATCTGAGCAAGGTATTTGTAAAAACAGGATAAAAATTAAGTAGTCAAATTAGTCATAGAGTAATTTGTCAAATGTAGCCACATACTGACTCTAAATAATGCTAAATTGAATCTGGACATCTATGCATTTATAAGGTTTAGTTCTAAGCTGGGTGATTATGTGCCCAAATTCTGTATGTTGCTCTTACTTCCTGGCATTGGCTGCCCTTGCTTGTTCATGTTTCAAATAGCAGTTTTTTATATTAAGTAGCAGAGACCCTCAGGAGTTCAATTAACCACAGAACTATAAAATCAGTATGAAACATTACACTCACTCCCTGTTCAGACTAATACTGCTATTCCTGCACTGTCTGTGATCACTAATGACTAACTAGACCTTTTTCCCAGATTTTTGCTAATCTGTAATTAATCTACTTGTTTAATTTTATTCTAGTTGAGGCCTTGTACCAAACAACATATCCTAAATACCTCCAATATATATACCTAGTGGCCCCTGTGTCCCTCATGATGCTGAACCCATTGGGCTTTGTTTTCTGCGAGATCCAGAATTGGCGAGAGAATCCCGGGAACTCCCAAGGCAGAATGAAGATTTTAGGACTTGCACTTCTTCGTGTCTTCCAGAACCCCATTGTCTTCATGGTATTTATAGGGATTGCCTTTAATTTTGCACTTGGACAGAAGATTCCTGTTTACTTGGAGAATTTTTTGGATGGTCTAGCTAGTTCTTTCTCGGGATCAGCTTTATTTTATCTAGGTCTTACAATGGTTGGACAGACTAGCAAGCTTAAGAAATCTTCTTTCGTTGCATTGCTTCTACTTATCACCGCAAAGCTGTGAGTATGATTCATAGTCCTTAAGTTTTAGCTTGCCAATTTTGCTTTCATTTGATTGTAAAATATCTCCTCTATTTGACTAGGCAGTTTGCAGAGCAATTAGTCCTATTTGCCCTTTAACATGTACTGCCAAGGTAGACTCAGCACATTTCCTCTTCTGTATAATTTAGGCAGTTTGTTTTTTTCTGTTATAAAAGTGCTATGGTCCATAGTCTGTATGACAGCTAAGAACACTGAAAGTGTTACTAAACCCACAACAGTAAAATCAGTCTGTATTAGCAGTAAAGCATGCTTGTTATACTCACTGTGGAACCTAAGAGGTTAATCCTCTGCATTGTTTAAAAGATGTTTGATCCTGTCTTTTCTGCTCCTCGTCTTCTTGCACAGTCCCCAGTCCATTTGCTGATAGAACAGAGTCCTGGGGCAAGCTGCACATGCTCAGTTTGGTGTGTATTGCTAGAGAGTTTTTTTTTTTTTTTTTTTGGGAGAGTGCATTTGATCAGCACTGTCTAGACAGAGGGTCAGGGGTTCTGCACCCTCATAGGACAGTCAGGGAAGAATGAAAACTCCTATTACAAGCTTTAACCAGTGCTCTGCTGGACACTAATGGAAGTCACAAGACTGCTCTAACTGCTATTGAGAAGTTTTTTTTAGCAGTTTGTTTACTAAAATAATTGCATTTCCATATAATAAAGCGAGCACTTCAGAATATAGTATTCAAAAAGCAGCTTGCATAAGATTGACCCCTAAAATCCTAAACATAAATAATATAAAAGATGCAGCGCTCTTAATATATAATATAGTGAAATAGTGACATATAATACGCAATCTTATGCGTTAATGGGTGAACATATAAGTGATGTCTTTAATGAAGACAGTATTAAATAAAATGACATCATCTCATAATGACATATCAAACAGCAACAAACTGAATATGTATAAAAGTCCTTGAAATATTAAATCAAGATGCGCCGATTTTCCCGCACATTTGTGCACATGACTTCAGTGATATGAAGAAAAAGGTGTGCTTGCACTCACCAGACATATGAGGGCAATAGTAGTCATCTGGGACCCAGTAGGTAAAAGGCACTCCAATGGTACTGGTTACAACTTGGGGAAGACCTCTAGACCTCTTGGTGGACCCTCTTAGTGGACAGGGACTGCTCGCTGTAGTTAGTACTCGGTATACGATGGACTCAGCAGAAACACCACCTTTCTGTAGCTCAAAATAAAGCCACCAAGACAAAGGGCTCTTGGTCCTCATTAGCAGTCATGGTGTAAGCAGAGCGGCTACTATTTCCAGATAACAGCGCTGATCCCGCCTAGCTCATGGGTGACAGCTCACGGACGTCTACCATACACATGTGTGGTTAGAATGGGAGGATGTCATATGACGTCCTCCCAGAACGAGAGAACCACCTTACGCCCGTCATTGTACAATATGGCGGGCGGGAGGTGGTTAAAGAGGCACGAAGAAACGGGCAACGTTGAGGACCGTAGATGCAGTAGTTGGCCATGGAAACCTAATGCAGCAGATGAAAGACACATCATGCTTACTTCCCTTTTGACACTGAAAGATGTCCAGCAGTGCCATAATCGCAGGTCTGGGGGAAATCGGGGGGACCCAGGTAAACCCACTGTCTGAAGAAGTCTGTCTAGAAGTGGTCTTCATGGAAGAATTGCGTCCAAAAGTCTTACAGTACCTACGACGTGGAAACAAGGCTAAGTGTCTCAACTATGCATGAAAACATAGGAAGTGGGGTGCAGAAAAATTACAGCAGGTACTAGACTGATGAGTCAAAATGTTAAATATTTGGCTGTAGCAAGAGGCAGCTTTTTTGCCGAAGGGCTGGAGTGTCTGCAGGCAACAGTGAAGCATGTTGGAGGTTCCTTGCAATTTTGGGGCTACCTTTCTGTAAATTTTGGAGACTTGGTCAGGATCAATGGTGTCCTCAATGATGAGAAATACAGACACTTATCCATCATGCCATACCATCAGGTAGGTATGTGAATGGCCCCAAAAATCATTTATTCTGCAGCAGGACAAAGGCCACAAAGCACTAGGGACAATATGTATGTGAAATAGGTTGAAACAGCAATGTTTTACTGTGTAAAATGAAAAAAAAAAAAATGACATTTTTAAAATTTTTAAATTTCCCGGCGGCGGTGCCCGTACGTCCCGACGTCACAGGGACAGGACACAGAAAGCCGGATGCCGGCATCGGCCGGAGGAGATGGCCGGGGACGCTGCAGGGGACACATCGTGGGAGCGCAGGGTAAGGTAAGTGAAGAACACATGCCGGAGCAGCGCCGCATGGTATTCCCGAGTGTAGCTCGGGGTTACCGCTTTTGGTACTGAAATGTTACCCCGAGCTACACTCGGGAATACCGTCATTAAGAACTATCTTCAGCGTAAATAAGAGCAAGGAGTCCTGGAAGTGATGGTTTGAAGATCTGTGGTTAGTTCACCAAGATGTTTGGAACAACCTACCTGCCGAGTTTCTTCAAAAACTGAAAGACTGTGTGCAAGTGTACCTAGAAGAATTGATGCAGCTTTGAAGGTAAAGGGTAGTCGCACCAATTTTTTTTTTTTTTTTGGATTTCTCTTCTGTTCATTTACTTTCAATTTTGTTAATTGATAAAAATAAACTAAACACTTCTATTTCTGAAAGCATTCATACTTTATAGCATTTTTTCACAACTACCTAAAACTCTTGCACAGTACTATATATCACAGTATGGTGTGACACAATCCATCAAATTGCACAGTGCTGCAGTCAGAATTTAATGAAATGTCACTTAAGAAAAAGGTAATGGTGATTGGTGAAAGTATACACTGTAGGCTAAAGACTGTGTTGCTCTAATGAATTCTTCATAGGAATATGTGGAAGATGCAGGCCAGAGAGGAAGCATAGGAAGTGCAGCTCAGACCTCTACAAGCCAAGGGGCGGCGTTCAGCCATAGAAAGTAATGGCCATATCTGCCTGTATAAGGTGGCAATTTCTCTCTATAGATGGGCCCAGCACATATACACTGGCTGGTACAGGACCGTATGAAGGAGGCCCAGCTGGGCCTCGGATATAGTCTAGGGTTATTAAACTATAATTTTTGTTAACTTAAAAACAAAACTGTGCTTTGTGCCACGTATGCTGTCTTTACCTTTTTGCTGCTCCGTTTTTAGCCACATTGAAAACTAATGCCAGTATTTCCAGGTATAGAGGAGCATGTTACTACCCTCCCTTTCACGATGAATTGGTACTATGAATAGCACACACAATGCATACAATCCCAGTTTAGTGCCCTTATGCCCGCAAAACTCAGGGTACATGTGCTGACCTGGACCCTGTCCTACCCAGCATTCTGTTGACATGTCAGTATGATGAGCAGCCTAACAGATAGGTACGTTACATGGAACAGGGTCAAAATGTATTACTTGACTCCTACGTTTATGGGATGCAGGGGCATTATGCAGAACCTGATTTGTCATACAGTCACCTGGAGTGCCTTTTACACATAGCAGGCAAGAATTACAGAAAAATTGCTGTTGGTTTGCATTAAGGGTTAAATAAGGGTGATTGGCCCAAAGCATACCTGTGACTATGCTAATGCTCCTGTTGGCACTGGTGTTGGATAGGGCAGATTTTAGACAACATGCAGATGGTTGGATAGAATTAAATATTACTATAAGAAAAATCTGAGGCTGTTCCAGGTTAGTCTTTGCTCACCAGGTAGCCGGGTGCTAGTCCAGCTCATTACAGACTAAAGTTTCAAAAGATGAAATGACTGCACACTAGTAGTAATATCTGATATATTTACCAGTTGATACAACTAACAGCTCAATAAAGCATTGGAACAACACAGATGTGAATCCTCTCCCCCCTTGATAGAGGGATGCATTATATGCAGCTGTGGATTTCTCAGACTATAGCTATACAGTACATAGCAATGAAAAATTAACAAAATATAAACACATAATAGCACAACTATACATGATACTGCCAGGGGGGCTTGTCAAAGATGGCAGCTGGAGCAGGCGCTTGAGAAGGGAGCTCTGCGGCATGTGTCTTATTATCCGCATTTGTACAAGGATTACTGACCTCTCCTCCTCGTTGACCTGCACCCCCACTCGTAGACACTGGCTATGGGCAAGCTGTCTGCCAGGTACAAGCGTCCTCCGCTCCTCGTAGTGAAGAAGTCTGGGCCGACATCACAAGATCCAATATGCCAGACAATCCAGCGGCTCTGGACCAGCAAAACTTCACGGCCCTCATGGAAGCCATTACGCATGCTAGACTACTCTCACGGCCAAAATGGACCACCTTCAGACAGATATTGGTCTAATTCACCGCGGCATGGATAAGTTCTGAGACCAGCTTGAGGAGGCTGAACACCGCATCGGCGAGTCGTTTCTGGCAATATTTCCTCAGGTTACTATGGCTCCACTTATTATAGTCTCTTGGAATGTCCGAGGACTTAATGCCAAACCTAAACGATCCCTGGTTTTTAACTATCTCAAAAAGTACAATTCTCATATCTGTATTCTACAAGAAACCCATCTGATGGGTAGTAAGGTCCTTTTGCTTAAGAGAAACATGGGTAGGTAACTACTACTATACCACATATTCCGCCTATGCTAGAGGGGTTCGTATATTGGTCTGCAAGTCCCTGCGGTTTTTCTTACTCCATCCAGATCAAAACCCAGAGAGCAATTATGTTCTCTTGCATGCAAATATTGACTCTCTCGATATGGTGATCTTGGGTGTTTATTTTTCCCCCGCCAGTACATCCTTTCCACTTCCACAAATTAGCTCCACTACTTGCGTTCTTTCCTATGGCGAGGCTAGTGTTGGCAGGTGACTTCAATATGCCACCTTGCCTAAGTGTAGACAAACTAAACCCTGTCAATTCTAACAATAGTGCTTTGTCCAAATGGGCAGCTTTGTATGGATTTTGGGATGCCTGGAGATGTAAACACCCTGTCACGTACCTGATCGGAGACT